ATGCATGTGCCCCACGTGATGTCTGGCGCCTCCAAGCTTCGCCCAGAGGTCCGGCGTCTCACCAATCACTTACACCCGGATCGTAAAAGAAGGGGGACTCTAAGAGTGCTCTTCCCGCAATACGCCATCTTGGGCTTGACTCTCAGCTGTCATCTCAGCCCGCGGCTGCCTTGTAGAAGCCCAGCATCATCCACTCACCACTCCACTGCCAAGTGCAGACTTCCTCCTGCTCATCCTCACCTCTGCTCCACTGCTACGTCAAACTGGACTCGGTGAAAGGAGAGTAGGAGGCCTGGAACAACTCGGCCTCCTACCGCTGGCCTGAGATGGACTCTCCGCCACCTGCTGGCCTCCTATCAGCCCTTGGGGAAGATCGGCCATCACCTCCGACAGGGAACCTGCTCCATTGGAGGCCAGGTAAGCCCGATCAACGCATCCATGGACACAGCAGCCATTGTGAACAAGGGGAAGCCTATGACACTAACTCTCAGGTAAATAAAGAGGCCCTGAGCTAACGTTTAACAGCAGAAGGATAAAGGGAAAAACAAGGGAAATCTGTTCCAGCCTGTTCCTTCTGCAACTGGTAAGTACCCTTCCCTCTATACTCCATCCCATCTCTCTGCAACCTTGTATCTCTCTCTATCCCACTCATTACTGCAGGGCAGCAGTCATGCCTCCCCTTCCTTACAGTCCTGGTAATCCCTATCTCACTGTTTCTGGTTGTGTGCTGACAGCAAGCTTTGGTTTTCCCACTGAACAAGTTAGTTAAAGCATTTTCAACAGACAGAAGGTGGTGCTGTTGAATAGGAACATAACTTGTTTTACATTTATGCAATAATCAGTATGTTAAAGCTTTTGTAAATCTTGATTGAACTTTAGAGAACCGACCATATGGAAAGTCTTATAATGCTCGACTTGTCTTGAGTTACTTCAGCGGTGAGTTTTAAAAGTTTTTCTAAAAATATCTTCACGTACGTTACAAATTTGCATTGAAATGATTAGTGAAAGCTTTTACAATATTGTACATCAATTCTCTTTCTCAATTAGGATCATAATGCAGAACTATATAAATAAGTACAGATTGTGTTTTAAATATACAAATGTCAAAAAATGTAAAAAATCCAGAATATTTGTCTATATAAGTGCACTTATTATCAAAATACTTACATATGCATACAACGTAGCAATGTTTCCCCCAAAGTATGTTTCTGTCAGATAAACTCAACTAATAATAAAAAGCTATATTAACAAAACATCTCTGCATACATTACAGGGCCGACTGATTCCTAACAGAGAACATTTTTAATGTACAAAGATACGCAACATGTTTCCTTTGAAGCATGAAGTCCTTTACACCCAATGAAAAATGTGTCTGTTACATTTCACTTTATTGTTAACTGAGAAATCTGTATCTGGATTGTCAACAGCCCCTTGGGGGTGCTATTGGTTTTCTTCTAGAATACAGACATAAACTTTTTTCAGTTTTCTGTCATTTTTTTCACATTAATTCAGTACTTAATATGGGACTCATCATACATGTTATTGTAATTGGAAAAGAGTACTGTGCTATACAGAGAAAAAAAAACAATATCTAAAACATTTTTTTTACTTAACCCCTTAAGGACACATGACGGAAATATTCCATCATGATTCCCTTTTATTTCAGAAGTTGTGTCCTTAAGGGGTTAAACATTTGGGAAAAAACAAATATAGTAGTTTTGCATGATGAGATGTCGGTAAGCCAACACCAGACTGCCACAGTGCCAGCCTCATCATCCATTCCTTTTTTGGGGTTTCTTTCCATGTCAAAGGAGAGATGAACCTTATTTAAAAATGTGTCCACAGAATTTAGTAGAGACTAAAGTAAAACGTATTATAAATGTATAGGTGCTGTTTATTTTTTTGCAATTTATGTTGCTTGTTAGGCATATGTCACACACAAGCTGATAAATGTATGTAAAACAAACAACATACTGTAAATAAAATAAGAAATTGTAAGGATGGAATAGTAAATCAGTACTAGTAAGTGTAGCAGAGTGGTTTCAACCGCTCTCGGGTGTCCTTTCCCGATCAGTGAGGAGGATTCTCAACATCCAGTCATGATCCAAGTGAATAAGCTCTTACAAGAGCTAGTGTGAATAGCTGTATAGCAGTTACCTCCAATAAGAGACAGGAGTCTAGATTGAGGGTGAAGTAGAACTGATTTTTAATGGCGGTACTCTCCTTTTATGCAGTGCTCCCATGCAAGGGAGACACCCACAAGCAATTATACATTAACCAATCAATGATAAGGTACATCCTACATATCCCCTCTTCTTACATAAACAGTTAACCCAATTAAAAAAGTACACAATTTTCTCAAGTTTCTGGATGTACCCCAAATATATGGGGTACATCCCTAGCACTGGTATCCCATGATAGCCTCGATCTGGGTGAACAACATATTCAAAAATCACCCAGATCGGACCAGGGGTTCGGGAGTTACAGGGACTTAAAGTTTTGACCAACCGCACAGGCAACAGTAGCCGAAAACAGTTCCATAAGTTTTGGCCTTGCGGTCGGTCTCTGTTCATGGAATACAAAGTCCCGAACGGCTTGCCATCTGTGGATATCCTGGTGTTCCTTAGAACCCCCATGTTTAGCTTAGTCTTTTTACCAAATGGCGGCTCGTTCGGTAGTTTCCTTCCATCGGTTTTGACACTCTGGAGTTTTCAGCGGTGTTTGCTTGGTCGAGTGTCCGATTTCAGTTCCAGACACTCTACGACCAAACACCGCTGTTCAGGAGATTAAGATGGCCACCGCCACGTGTTCGCCTCCCAAAATGGCGGCCACCCAGAGAACAAAGCATACGCGGAATTGAGTGCTAATTACGAAACAGCAACATTGTTGCGAACATTAATGGGAACACACTTATCATCTGGGTGGTTGGAACGTTTGGTAGACAATTCTGGACTTTTGAACAGATTGTATGGTAGTCTATGGCAGTAATTTCATACGAAGGTAACGAATGAGCAGTTCACATAAAGTACAGATCCCACGAACGAACGCAGAGGGGATCTGTTACAACATATATTACAGGTCCAACGAAAAAAAACAGGGGGATCTGTTACATGGCTCCCTCTTTGTGGAACACTCCAGCAGACCCGGTTTGATCCTTTTCAGGTCAACTGGAGGCTGTCTGGATGACAGATTATGGGCTGAGTTCAGTCTGGCGGGACAGCTCATCTGCGTTACCATTTTGTTTCCCGGGGCGGTATTGGATGTTAAAATTATAGGGCTGTAGGGCTAGGCTCCATCTTAATAATCGCCTGTTGTCTCCAGCCACTCTATTTAACCAAACCAGGGGGTGAATTCTCGCCCTTACAAATAGGGGGTGAGTTTTTTCAGCGTCCAAACCAAAGCCAAGCATTCCTTTTCGACTGCCGCATAGCTCACTTCCCGGGGCAATAGTTTGCGGCTGATGTAAGCGACTGGGTGTTCTCCTCCGTCCTCTCCCACTTGGCTTAGAACTGCCCCCAGTCCGAACATGGAAGCGTCTATGTGGACGATAAAACGTTTGTTAGGGACTGGTGCAGCCAACACAGGAGCATGTACAAGGGCGTCTTTCAAGGCTTAAAAAGCAGATTCACAGGTGGGAGACCACAGGACCTGTCTGGGGAGGTTATTTTTCATGAGATCAGTCAGGGGCTTAGCTAAGGCGCTGTAGTCTGGTACAAACCGTCTGTAATACCCTGCTGTCCCCAGGAAGGCCAGGACTTGGGTCTTAGTCAGAGGTGTGGGCCAGTTAGTGACAGCTTCTATCTTGGCAGGCTCTAGCCGCTGTTGCCCACACCCAACCTGGTGGCCCAAATACTGGAATTCCCCATTGCCTATATGGCATTTCTCTGGCTTCAGAGTCAGGCCAGCAGCCCGAATCTGATCCAGCACTGCCCCCGCATGCCTCAAGTGCTCTTTCTAGGACTCGCTATAGATCGCAATGTAATCCAGGTACGCACAAGCGAAATCCTGGAAGCCATCAAGGAGTCTATCCACCAAGCGTTGGAACATGGCCGGGGCAGTTTACATCCCGAATGGCATGACTCTGAATTGGTACAAGCCAAACGGGGTGACAAAGGCCGACTTGGGGATATTCTCCTCGGCCAGTGGAATCTGCCAGTACCCCTTACAGAGGTCAATGGTGGTCAGATATTGTCCCCTGGCAATGCGATCCAATAACTCATCCACCCGGAGCATAGGGTGGGCGTCTGTCACAGTTTTCTCATTTAGCCGCAGATAGTCCACACAGAACTATATAGTAGCTCAAAAGGAGAGAACCCCGTGGATTCCTGCGGCACCTCTCTGTACGCGAACAGGAGGTGAGGCAGGAACCGTTCCCAGTTATGGTATTCGTCTGTGAACGTTTTAAACATTTGCTTGAGCGTACCGTTGAAACGCTCACAGTAAGTCACCCCAAAGGCATGGAAACAAAACATACTATAGCACTAATGGTAATAAAATGCAACATTCACAATCAGTGTTCCAGTGTGATTATGTGGTTGATTAGCGTTGTCTGGGGTTCGGCCATCGGTTGTGGGTATATGAGAAATAGGGATACTTTGGGTGATAGGGGGAGATTAGTCTCCATTATCCCCGAGATCAAGGTCATGATCCTCAGCCAGTATATTTGGATGACTGGGCATTGCCACCAGATATGTCCCGGGGTACCTCCTGGTTGGTGGCACCTCCAGCAGGAGTCTGGGAGGCTAGGGAAATAGCGGCTTAAGTGTGACGGGGTATAATGCCATCTAGCAATGCGTTTGTAGTTGTGTTCGTGTGTGGCGTTGCTGATTGAGGAGTGGAAAATGTTCGAAAAGATGCCTTTGCATTCTGAGTCGGAGAAGGAAATGTTGAGTTCCCTTTCCCATTGGGCTAAGAATGGGGGACTAGGGTGACATGTGTTGTTCTGAAGTAGATTATAGAGTTTTGAGATGTGTTTTGACTTGAAGCCTACGCTATCGCACAGGTTTTCAAATGTGGATAAGTCTCTTGTTGCGCCGCGGAGGAGTGGTGTGGTTGATATGAAGTGTGTTAGCTGATTGACGTTGAAGCGTAGTAAAGGTGTGGCTATCGTGTCGGGTATGATCTCCTCTGGTGGTTTAATCCCTTGGGTTTTGAGTAAGGTTCCCAGCCTAAGGTAGGTAGATGTGTGTATATTTTTGAATGTAGATGAATTCATACCAGGTTGAAATAGCGGGTTGTAGGTTAGTGGGTATAGAGGGGATGGATGTGGTGAGATACTTGGCAGCGGTCTAATCTGCTGTCATGTGAGTAGTGTAGGGGTTATGGTTGGGTGGAGATTGTGTGTGTGGTTGAGAAGAGTAAAAACACCATTTTATGCTTCTTTTCAAAACTGAGTTTTGATATTGTCAGTCTTTACCTATGTCCTGAAGATAAAAGTGACTTAGTGCACCATCTATTTACTACATCTAATTGTCTACTTTGAAGAGTGCTAGCTTTCATACCTAAATTAGAAATCTTCACCCATACACTAATAGCCAGTACCTCTGCAAGCTCATACTGGATGCAGCTTCTTGATATCCCTAAACCAGATCTTCCGATTGTTAATTGTGAAGTCAATTACCTCATTGGACTGTCTCTTGTAGCCAGATGACAAAGACACCATTTTTTTTATTAGCAAAGTGTAAGTAGGTACAACAGTGCCTGTATCGCCACAAACAGCATCACCGGGCTCTAATTTGTAGGCATAACATAACAATAGTGCAATATATTAAGTTTGCACATATCACATTTACGAGGATAATGACAGGTGAAGACATGCATATTCTAGGTTCTTGAAAACATTGGTAAATTAACTGGAACTTAGGCAGACAAAGGGAGTTTGGGGAGATAAATGTGTCCCATGTTATACAGAGTGTAGTAGGGTGTTCCTGTATGTGTTCAGGTGGGTGTGTCTAATTACTTCTGCAGGTCCGTTTGTCGGGTGCTCTTCGGTCGTCAGTTGTGTTCATGTAACAGGGTGGCCATGCGGTTTGGATGGGGTGTGTTCCTGCCCTTAGGTGGGGTCGGTATGTGTGGTTGGGTACGTGCTCATAAAGGTTAGCCATTGCGACCAGCATGTTGTGTATTTAGAGTATGAGTGGGTCAGTGAGAGATGCAACTCTTCCATTAATCTAATAGATTCCACTTTTTGAATCCATTCCCTTATTGTCGGATGAGTTTGTTTTTTCCAGTAAATCGGGATAAGCATATTGGCTGCTGTGATTAGGTGGTTGATTGGCGTTGTCTGGGGTTCGGCCATCGGTTGTGGGTATATGAGAAATAGGGATACTTTGGGTGATAGGGGGAGATTAGTCTCTATTATCCCCGAGATCAAGGTCATGATCCTCAGCCAGTATATTTGGATGACTGGGAATTGCCACCAGATATGTCCCGGGGTACCTCCTGGTTGGTGGCACCTCCAGCAGGAGTCTGGGAGGCTAGGGAAATAGCGGCTTAAGTGTGACGGGGTATAATGCCATCAAGCAATGCGTTTGTAGTTGTGTTCGTGTGTGGTGTTGCTGATTGAGGAGTGGAAAATGTTCGAAAAGATGCCTTTGCATTCTGAGTCGGAGAAGGAAATGTTGAGTTCCCTTTCCCATTGGGCTAAGAATGGGGGACTAGGGTGACATGTGTCGTTCTGAAGTAGATTATAGAGTTTTGAGATGTGTTTTGACTTGAAGCCTACGCTATCGCACAGGTTTTAAAATGTGGATAAGTCTCTTGTTGCGCCGCGGAGGAGTGGTGTGGTTGATATGAAGTGTGTTAGCTGATTGACGTTGAAGCGTAGTAAAGGTGTGGCTATCGTGTCGGGTATGATCTCCTCTGGTGGTTTAATCCCTTGGGTTTTGAGTAAGGTTCCCAGCCTAAGGTAGCTAGATGTGTGTATATTTTTGAATGTAGATGAATTCATACCAGGTTGAAATAGCGGGTTGTAGGTTAGTGGGTATAGAGGGGATGGATGTGGTGAGATACTTAGCAGCGGTCTAATCTGCTGTCATGTGAGTAGTGTAGGGGTTATGGTTGGGTGGAGATTGTGTGTGTGATTGAGAAGAGTAAAAACACCATTTTATGCTTCTTTTCAAAACTGACTTTTGATATTGTCAGTCTTTACCTATGCACAATGTTTTTAACTTTATAAAGTTTAATGAAGAAGCAATAAAGTAAATTGAAATTACCTTTACTAGTGATTAAAGGACCACTATAGTGCCAGGAAAACATACTCGTTTTCCTGGCACTATAGTGCCCCGAGGGTGCCCCCACCCTCAGGGTCCCCCTCCCGCCCGGCTCTGGAAGGGGGAAAGGGGTTAAAACTTACCTTTTTCCAGCGCTGGGCGTCGAGCTCTCCTCCTCCGATCATCCTCTTCTCCTCCCATGCGGCTGAATGCGCACGCGCTGAAGTGATCTGGGTGCCTAGAGTGGTCCTTTAATGAGATCCTTGAGGTTGATGCTGCGAGACTAAATATTTGATATCTGGTTCGATTTTCGTAAGGAACAAACAAAGGTCTCCTCTTTCGGTGATAATCAGAAGACTTCTTTGTTTGCTCATAAAATGATTTCTCATCTGTGCATCAGCTCCCCTCCTCTCCCTCCTCAATTCCCCTCCCCACCTTTTTTCCCCTTTTTTCTATTTTTTAACCTTACTTATAGCAATGCCCAATAGGAACGCTGAGCTAGGTAGCCCACTTACTATTATTAGTCAACAACAATTCTCTCCTTTTCCTTTTATTTCCTTCTCCTTTTTTACAAGTACTCTACTCCTTCTTTTTCCTATTCTACAAGTACTCTACTCCTTCTTTCTCCTATTCTACAAGTACTCTGCACCTTCTTTCTTCTATTCTACAAGTACTCTGCTCACAGACAAACACATACATTTACAAACACACACTCACAGACAAACACTCACACATACACACACTCACATAGAAACACATACACACAAATATACACATACTCACACATGCACTTACAGACACTCACACATACACAGACAGACACACAGACACACACACTTACTGACACACACAAATATACTTACAGACACACACACACACACACACTTACAGACACAAACACACATATACTTACAGACACACACACACACATATACTTACAGACACAGACACACAAACACACAGACACACATACACTTACAGACACACACACACACACACATACACTTAATGACACACACACACACACACACACATACACACATACACTTACAGACAAACACATATACACACAAATTATTAATATTAAATGTCCACCCAGCCTCCCTACCTGGAGAGCTGGTGTGGATCTGTCCCTGGGGTCCAGTGGGGCTTCACTTCGGTGGGTGGCTAATCAGACACAGCGAGGGAGCTCTAACCTCTCTGCTCTGCTCCCTCGTGGACTGTCTACTGATGCCGGGAGCCGGAATATGACGTCACATTCCGGCTCCCGTGGCATCAGCAAACATCGCGCGAGGGAGCAGAGCAGAGAGGTTAGACCTCCCTCGCCGTGTTTGATTAGAACTCTGCCATACCGGGGGGGTCCAGAAGTTGGCCTGGCAGGAGGGAGCACTTCCTCCTGCCGGTCACTGAAGACTTGCACACGCAGAGCCGCTCGCGCCCGCCCAAAAGGAGAAATCCTCTTAAAAAGAGGATTTAGCCTCTGAAATCCCTACCGCCCACCTGGAATCCCGAAACGCCCACTAGTGGGCGGTAGGAACCATGATTTAAACTGTAGCTTAGTGTCTTAGTCCCTTACTCTTAATTCACTGGATCCAACTTGTCTCAGAAGGATGCCAACATTCAGAAGGGTGAAGCATTCAGAAGGGTGCCAACATTCAGAAGGGTGCCAGCAGTCTTCCCTACTTAAATTAAATTATAACTAAATAGGCAAATGCATCTGCAACCTTGTACAGGAAGTAGATTCTTGATATTCGTAAAGCAGATCTTTGTATTGTAAATTGCAAACTAATTACTCTTTTCACATCAATTTTTATTCTTACTCTATAAATCCAGTGAATGTAGCTAATTTGTCTGAAAGAGTAATGTGCAGCTTTCCTGAAGCTGTTTGTAAGCTTGGGGCAGAGATTAGATGTTGTGCGTGGAGAACATAAAACACAGAACACAAAGTAATGGGACATTTAATAGAGCAGTACCTCCATTATTTTCTATTCATGTTTAAATGTAAATTTTCCCCTTTTTGTAGTTTGTTAGGAATCCTCTAAAGAAAGATCACTATAGTGTCAGGAAAACAAGCTTGTTTTCCTGACACTATATAACCCCTAGGACCTCCCACCCTCAGGTTCCCCCTCCTGCTGAACCCCTTCAACCACTTACCTTTATCCAGCACCGGGCTCCCTCGGCGCTGGTGACCTCTGCTACACCGCCGAAGTCAGCTCCCAAGTGGAACGGAATGCGCATGCACTTTCAAACAGTCCATAGGAAAGCATTTCTCAATGTTTACATCTGAAGGGTTAAAACCTGGCGGACCTGGCACCCAGACCACTTCATTGAGCTGAAGTGGTCTGGGTGACTATAGTGTCCCTTTAACTGTTCTCATTGTATTTCCTTTATTTATGCCATCATATATTTTGGAACTCAGGTTATAGCATGGTTACCATCACTGTTACTCAGAGGTCTTAACAAGCACAAGGTACAATTTGTTGGGAATTGACCAGAGAATTTACAATTCTAGGCCAAAATAGATGAAATTCGGCTCTTTAGATATTATCTAAATTATTATTTTTCAAAATATAAAAATACATTGTATATATAAAAAAAATCATTATATAAAACAAATCTAAATTTAAATATATTTTTGAAAATGTTAAATCATTTAAACATTTGTCAAACAATTATAAATAATTTACAAAACGTAGCCAAAATATTAAAACAAGACAAACAATTGAAGAGCAAACAAAGAAAGAATGTTTTGGATATAATTTAAAATGTCCTCCATTTTAGAGTTATGCCTAGAATTTAGGAAAATCCCAAGTAAATAACAGATTCTACCGATGATAGAATGTCATATCTCTGCTCTATTTCTCCCCTAGAACAGTGTCACTAGATCAGCTCTGAGGAATCTTTAGGATACACATATGTTAAAAAGAGTGTAGCCATGCTAGAAAGGGGGTAATAGA